ATGACGATGATAAACGTATCGGCTCTTGAAATTGATCGTAGTCGACGGCATTATCGATACTGGATGACTCAGCAAGCGTCGCAACAGCTGAATTGACATGAACTCGTGGTGATGGCGGAGATCGTTTTTCTTGATGTTGACTTTCTAATGCGAAGAATTTGCGAGGAGAGATATTCAATAATTGTTCGTCGGAACTATCATCATCTTCATTACTTTCATCAACGAACACTTCGGATCTATCAACACTCGTTACCGGACGATGTTTGAGAAGCCTGAGTGAGGAAGTGAAGTCAGCAGATGGTGAGTTAGTAATCAATTGCAAAGATGATGCTGATGACGGCAAAGCAGATATGGATGTGGTAGACAAAAACAATGATGAGAGAAGTGTAACAATGAACATAGCCAATATGTCGAAGAACATGATGAAAGGACAAGGAATTAGCAGTTCGAAGGATATTCTGAAATGAAAAAACAACACGAACTAGTACAAAAGATTCCGCCATGCTTGCTTACAAAGAAAAGTGTCTTAAAGATGCAAACGAATAGACAAATATATTTGTCATTAACACGTTTCTAATCAAGTTCACTATTAGTTTATAGAAAGTTTTCTTCTTCTTCTTTTTTTCTCGTTTGAAAGAAGCAAAAAAGAAAATGCTTACATCGAAGATTGATAGGCAACTAATGGCACTTATTACTCTCATATATTCATCTGATTTTTTCATTGCGATTTTCAAAATCTCAAGAGATAATCAAATGAAAGTACGTCTCCATGAGAATTAGTAATATGCTATTCGCTAGACGTTGATTGCAAATCTTTTTTTTTCGCTGTATGTCTCGTATTCAATTGGAATAAACAATGCATCCTTGTCGCGATTCATCGTTATTCTAATTGAAAGACATTGACAAAACTTCTGATCGAATTATACTCGCTGACGATTCAGTTAGGTGATGACAAACAGATAAACAATAATACACGCAATCATAACAATGACGACATACGACCTCATTGACAAAGCTATCGAAATGTCTTATATGTTAAACATCAGTCTTCTCTGGCATTTTACATTCTATAAAAGCTACTCCCCCTCATTCTCTAATACACACACACTTACACGAGACGAGTAGAAAATAAATACGAGTTTCGTATGAAATGGATTTGAAATGGAAGAGAGAGAGAGAAAGACAGAGAGAGAGAGACAGAGTGCGGAAGAAAGAGAATCAACTAAATTTATTTGTTCGTCTCCTACTCATGAACGCCCACGCATTGTGCCTATCTGAAATAAATATATAGTAATTACATTATGTCATCTGAACTGATGACCATATCGGCATTGTATTCGAATACCTAAAATATTTATATTAATTCGGAGGAGTTCTTTTAGAGTTCAATCAAAAGGCCAGATTGCATGTCACGTTCGAAAAGCTGCGCAGATTATACGCGATTGCATTGAAGGGCTAAATTGCTTCCTATATCCGAATTTGACATACGTATTTATATTAGCATTATCCTTTAGTTGTTCACCAAAGTGAAGTCTAAAGAGGAAAAGAAATAATGAGGCTTATAGCAATGGAATGATCGATTGATTAGTCTTTCTGCGAAACACAGAGAAAAAGGAAAAAAAAGAGAAGAAGAGTAACGCCGCTACTGCTGGTGACGATGAAGAATCAATCCGCGACTCAAGTGACATCGAGTTAATGTTTCCTATACAAAATTCAATCGCTGATGATGATGATGGCATTACTAAAAAAGACTCCATTTGACTTTTGAATTATTCATCGAGATTTCTATTCTATTAAAGCAGTACTTACAATTCGACTAACTGACGATCATTTGATTTCTCGTTTGAAAAATAGCAACAGTTAAACGAGAACAAAGAAGAAAATTAATCAACGAGTAGAAGTGTGAGTGAATGAGAATTGGAAAATGCATGTAAATAACGCTATTTCTTTAATATGATTTTCGCTTTTAACAAAAGAGGTGTCGTCATTCATTTTCTGAGTACTTAACAGGAAAAAGTCATCAAATACGCAGTTATATTACTCATTTGTTAATTAGAGAAACCAAGCAAGTCGATCAGGAAAATCTACACTGTTTACAAAACTGAAACTCATGTTTTCCATCTATGTTTACTTCGAAAAATGAATTGAATAAACTTTCAGACATTAGATGGTGAGTAAGATCGCTGTCGGAAAGCTAAATGCAGTTCATCACATACCAACCTTAATATACAAAATCAGCCGTCTTGACGCTGTTGTTGCATGTACAAATCCACTTGTTTATTTTCTGGCAACTATCGGAACGAATTGCCTCTCTTTTCTAAAGTAATGTTTCTTCCGAATAGACTTATCATATTATAGAAATGTCTGTGTCGTTCCTAGTTGTAGAAGAAAAAAAAGAAAGGAAATGTCATTTTTATTCTCTTTTCCTTCCTGACCATTTTGTTAGTTTTCAAACGTCTACTAATCAAATCAATGATATTTTATCGAACGTCATTCAGGCTAATAGTGTACAGTTGAAATGATGTGCTGGAATGATTTGTAAATCTGATTTGGGAAAGACTGACAGATAAAAGTCTTCGATAATTTAGACTAAAAGTTTGCCTTTCGTTTTTCTTTCAGTTGTATAAAACAAATAAATAAACAAACAAACAAAATCGAATGTGTTATTATCATATAGGAAAAAAAAACGAACTCGTAGATTAAATAAACTTATTTTTCAGCAGAACACCAGTGATTAGGATGCCTGCTGAAGCGAATAGAAAGCAAACCCATGCAAAAACGCCAATTATTGTGGAAATCAGTAGTGTTGAAGAAATACGAGTTGACAAACGATGTGCGCCGTCGAAATCTTTGCTCGCAATCATTCGTCGTACTTCGAATGTTTTATAAAGTGCCCAACACGGTCCAATAACAAAAAAGCAGAAGATTGTCAACACCAACGCCCATGTGAAGTGGTCTGGAATCTTCGTTGGTCTGAGTTTCACGGAATTCTTGGGTTTGGTCGTTTGAATTCGCAATGGGTTCTTTTTCTTATGTGAAACTGCTTTCTTAACTTGTAAATTCTTTGCAGATAACTCAAATGGTGCATCACGTTCAGGCATTTTGTTTACTTTTTTTGGAAGGAAAAGATGCACCACAGTTTGATATTTAAAAAAAAAGAGAACACAGCACTGTTTTTTTCTGTCAATAACGACAGTGATGAAGAGGGCAACAAAGAGAAAAGGAAAAAAAAACTAGAAAACTCCGCTATATTAACTAGAGCATATTTTAAAAAATTTTCTATTTTATTTTAAAGCACCAGTTATTAGCGAAAAAGCATTATTCATAGATTTTTTTTTTCATCAATATTCAAAGTCGCTTGTTTTGTGTATGGTCTTGGAACAAATGATCTCATGACTTTTCCAAGAAACAATTCCATCATATACGAAGATGTCGTTCACTTTCTGTGTAAACAAACGAAAGAGTACATCATTGAATATTCCATAAACATAATAGTGCTTATAATTAAAAAAAGAGGTTGCCTTATCATGGAAGTGCTTTTCTGTAGATTCGATATATCAAAACGAAGTGAATGTTCGCAGTAGAGTGACATCTGTTGACAATTTTGAACATTAGCAATTGGTAAAACGAAAACAACTAATCGTAGAGAAGACATTCTCATTCATCATTCATATTTATTTAGTTCTTTCGATTTCAATGGATCATGGTATGTATCCGGGCAATAAACGATCAAATGAAGAGATCTTATCGAATCCCAATGATCATAAACGCAATCGAAATGCGCCATCAGTCCGTACAGAATATCGATTTCTAATTGCGGTATCGGACGCTTACGCCATATTCGGACGGAATGGTGAAAATTATCAATCGATAAGAAATAAATATCATAATCAAATTGACATATCGCAAGCTCCCACGCCCGAACGAATTTTAGTGTTCTACGGTGATGAAGATCGTGCAATGACAATCTTGGGAGATATATTACCTATCATGGCACAAAATCAAGGTGTACGACCGGGTTTTGTTGAACTACGTGCAATGATACATTCGTCACAAGCGGGCGCAGTCATTGTAAGAATGAACAAGCTACTTTTTTGTTTCCCTTATGAAAATTTTCTATGATATAGGGGAAAAGTGGTGATCGCATAAAAGAATTTCGTCAAAAATATAATTTAGATACAAAAGTATTTCCAAATCCCACACCGGGCGATACCACAGAACGGGTTCTTTCATTACGCGGTGAATTACCTAATATTATCGAGTGTTTACGAGGTATATGCTTGCTTTTCTCGCGCTATTCGAATAACAGAGGTAATTAATCGATTTCAGAAGTTTATTCAATTCTCGATCAAACACCTATTCGTGGTCCTATACGAAATTATGATCCAACCGTTTATGACGGCGCTGATGTTGAACGTTACGGTACGAGGAGGCAACTATTGACACATTTTCTTTTCATGTCAACTTTTTTTTCTTCCAGGTGGTTTCATGGAAAATCATGATTTTCAAGCCACACGCACGCGATTCAACCCCAATCATCATCAGCAACACAATAACAATTATAATCATCGAAACAATCAACCATATTATCCGTCAAATAATGGCCCGATGCCAACGACAACTCTTGTAACAATTCCAAATTCATTATCGTCGTCGATCCTTGGACCACGTTGCAGTCGTATAGCACAGATTCGACAGCAGTCAGGCTGTGTGATCAAGTTCGACGATCCGTTACCAAGCAATGATCGAATTATTAGTATAATTGGTTTACCAAATAATATCATTCATGCCCAATATTTAATGCAAACAGCAGTAAAACAATGGACTAATTCAACGATTTCATCCTAGGCATGTCTTTTTCTCTCGTTCTCTTCATAAATGTTCAAGAGAATGCATATCAGTTTGTTTCATAAGTATAAATATATCTCAAAACGTTATCTTTTATCGAAAATGTTTACAAACATCAAAGGAAAACAAGAGAACAACGGACGAAGTATAGTCTACCACGAAAGCGATTTGGCTTCTCGTTCATAACAGCCTTCATAGAATTGCGCATACCAGTTTCTATACGAATGAAGACACTTGTCTGCGTAATTTTTCGTATTGTAGTTCAACTTTTCGGTAAAGATTTTTTTATTCCAAATTTTCATGTCGGCATAGAGTTGCTTCACTTCGCCCATTAACATTGCAGCTGACAGCCAATATGGCATCCACGTCGAAGTTATGATACGATGCACCACACGTTGATGAAACTTTTCTAATGGAGTTAAGGTATGAAAGAGTGTTAATTTGAAATAGGGTGACCAAAGAAACAGATAAACAATCGATGGTCCAATTTGAAATCCAGTGGTATTGAAGAGAAAGATTTCGTATTTGTCGAAGAAACGAATAGAACAATCCAAACAAATAACGTTGATGTAACGAACGTTATCTTCAGTGAGAAATTTATCGAAGAGATGCATTTTATATGCATGTGCTGAGGGATTCGAATGGGCCATGATTTGCCGAAGATCTGGATTAGTCGCACGTTCTGCTGAGGGTGTCCATTTGAATTTGACAAACGATATCGAATCAAGGATTGATTCATGTAAGAAGTCAAAATGACGAACGTCGCTGCCTAAAGAGAATGTGAAAATAAACAATCGATATATTGAATGTTCGTACCATTTTCAGGTATCTCTTGAACGTGGCAATTGACGTAGTTGATTGACTCGCCGCGAACTGAAGATTTTTTTCCGTAAAGAATAGGTTTGAGAATGTTTCAGAAAACTTTACCTTCCATAGTATTTCGAGTGATCTCATCCTGAATGTCGATTAATTCGTAAAGTGGTTTATGTCTTAAATTCTCATCTGCATGATACCAAGCAAAGATCGATCCGTTCAATTCTCGACATTCATATGTTTTCAATTTAATCTCTTGATTTTCTGCGATCTTTTGTAAATACTCCGTGGATTTCGAATTAGCTGATGAACACGGTGTGCAGCGTTCGAGATCGGCATATTCAAATGTATCAACACGTCGAGGTATTCGATTTTCGCCATCGGAAAACACACATGTGCCTGTTTCACCATCGTAAACCCATCCATGAAATGGACATTCAATACAGTTTATATCACGAACTCGACCACCAACGCCGAGATTTCCACCCATATGAGCACAGTAAGCTTCAAGAACATATGGTTTACCGTTATGTCCACGAAAAACAACAACATCTCGGCCGCAATGGTTGATAAATCTAACGCCACCTGGAGCTAAATTACACGAGTCTATTAACCAAAACCATCCTAAATGATAAAGAAATTTTTTGTTGGCCAAGCCGACAATGGAGGAACTTGAAAATTTACCGTTAGGGTATGATGGTGGACATTTGCCTCGAGCAATTTTACCTTTCGTTACTTTTTTCGGTTGATCGTATATGAATATTCGAAATTTTCGATAATAAATAAAATACAGTATAGGTATAGTGATCAATATCACAGTCCATATGTTCGAGGTGATAAGATCTACTGAGATAATCATTGATAGAAGTACAACTACAATATCTACGGTGTTTTCAAGCGCGTGTTGTCGAAAGCGTACAAGTTATGATTCTAGCCGGACATGCTTTATATAGTTGACTTCTTTACTATCTTCTTTATTCAGGTAAGAAGTAGCAAGTGTGGCTTATCGTAGATCACGCCACTTTTGCACCAGTGACGTTAACAGTTGATAATGATATTAAAACATGCATTCAGTGTCAATGTACTCGAATTCATCAGACAAACTGTATTTCGAGAACATATCTAGAGGCCAAAGATGATAGCAGAATCTAAATCAGGTTGTCATTATCATGTAAATGTTATGAAACGTGAGAGTTCTACTTTTTTTTAACTCACTTGTTAGATCAAGATACTCTATTTTGGTGACACGTGACTTGTACTAAAGCACATATCATCAAATACGAATACGAATCTGAGTTTATATATTCTCACTCTTTATAATTCCTAGAAAACTGGTGATGGCAATACGCTTCTTGTGCTGTTATTCTTTTCTTAAAATTGCAAATTGGCGCACATACAGGAAGAAAAAAGATAGAAACTAGCTGATGGATAATGTGTCGTCACGCGTGTACCAACGGGTCGATATAGAAAGTGAATAGGAAATTAGAAAATCTCGCATCAGAAGTTACTTATTAACGACCGGATGTCATCATCAGCATACACTCTGATTTTTTGCAATCGAAAAAAGGTCACCGTCTGAAAATATCACGACTGCATTCAAGCTCCAAAGCAGATATTCATCAATGAACCAGCGAATAGCACATCCTTACCCGCCGCGATCAAAAAAGTATCCCTACAATGCCAACGTCTTAGCGGGTGTTTTTCATTGAGTTCCTTTATTAAAACTTAGCATGGAAACGTGTTTTTCTTGTTTAAATTCCTATGAAAACAAAGAGAACTGTGAAAAAGAAATCATATGCAGTACATCGATTGAAAATAGCTGTAAAACTCTTCTAAAGCTACCCACATAGTTATATCTATATAATTTAAACTTGCAGAAAAAAACACACATGAACGAATAAATATTGAAAAAGCAAAATAGGTGTGAATTAGCGAGAATTTTCTTCTTCATCTTCTTCCTCTGCATCTTCCAGATTATCGTCTGAGTCAACATTCGAAGTTTTCGCTGAATCAGCAGTCATGGGTCGTCGAAGTTCGTTACCTACGAAAAGAAAAATTCACTATCAATCCAGTTACTTTCACAATCCAACTAACCTTTGAGAGCTGATGATTTCATAATTCTAAGCAAAAATAAATAATTAAAATTCTTTGATTTGAGTAGAAAACAATCTCTTACGAGTCGTATGTGTTTTGAGACATATCTCCGGATGATAAATGATAATGATGATTTGCTGCTTCTCGGGCTCTAAATGAGTAAAATAACCGGATATCAGCCAATGGAAGAAACTAATCATTCTTACCCAGCGTGTGGCTGATGAATATTAGATGGTTTTCGTTGAGGATTTGTGTCACCAATTGAAGTCAATGATGATTCACTGTCCTCATCGTCGTCATCATCACGTTTGTTATCCTAAAAGCACGAAATTTTATATGAAACAAGCCATAAACATGTTCTTTACTCGAGAATTAACTGTGACACGAGTCGGTTGAAAGCCTTGTGCAACAGCATTAACTGTTGGTTTGTGTCCTTTGGAATTAATATCAGCTAATTTCTGATCGATAATTCGCGTTTTCGTTGCCACATTTTCCGTCGTAAGACTTTCGCTCTCACTAGAAAAGTAAATAAGACCGGGAAGGATTGATTTTCATCCCGTAGAGGGTTTTACCTTTCAGATTCATAACGCTGAGTTGCTGTTTGCGGTCTAACCATCGCCGAGATTGTTCCATTCGTGTTAGTTATCGCTGGTCTCAAGCTTCCTGCTGCTAATGAACTAACACCAGTTGACGGTGGATTTCGCCGAGGTGATGGCTGAATGTCAATCGTACCACCTGACTTAGTTGGTTGACTATAACCATCACTATCATCTGTGTTCGTATGGCTTTTTTCATCATCCGAAGCGAAACTGGTTTTTGGACGAGGTGGGTTACGTGCACCATTCGAGTGGACAGTTGTAGATGGCCCTCTGGACGACTTCGGTTCTTGATGTTTAGCGTCGACATCGAATGTCACTAGTTTACCGCCTGATGAACGGACACCGCCCGAGCCTTTCGCAGTTTGACTACTCAATCGTTCAGCGGCGAGCTGGTCCAATGTACGACTAATATCGGCACGTATACGTTCAAAATTTGGTAAATCCTACATGAAGAAATAGATTAGAATTGCAAAGCCTCGATCAACGCGTCGTAGTAGCTTACATTTTGAATATTTTGTCGAGTTTGCTGAATAATATCCATTTTACTTGGAAAGTCTTTTGTCGGAATTCGAGTATCTTTCTGCAACACAAGAGATTGATAATATTTTCCTTTGTTGGATCATTAAAATTTACCTCCGTAACACCCAAGTTGTCATACTGACTAAGTTCATCGCGTAATTGTGTTTTTGTTTCACTGCGAAAACGATTGAGGAAATTTGGATCGGTATTAATTTTTCGTACAACACTTGGACAGTATTGCGGAAGATGAATTTGTACAGTGGGCGCCGGCCGTGTTTGCGTAGGTGCTGGCACAGGTGTAGGTGGAGGAGACGGGGAAAATGTTCGTCGCAGTGGTGGTACAGGAGATTTGCGATCGACAACTGGTGGTGGTTGATTCCGAAGTTCATTTATCTGATCATTGGCATTATCAAGATCCTCTTGCAATTTCTTACGGCGATTTCTCTCCTCATTGTATCGCTAAACATTCGATTGGATTCAGAGCTCTTCGTGTTTTTATTTCATTGAACTTACATTTCGTGTTGCAAGTAACTCTTCAGATAGCCGACTTGTGTCACCAGACACGTTTTGTAGAGACTGAAGAGCGTCATTCAATCGATTGATTTCCTTTTCAAGCTATAGAAATGAGAGACAATCGAAAGAATTGTTATAACAATCGACATGCCATACATCTTGATTTTCACGTTCAACACGACGTTTCGACTTCTCTTCTCTCTTCAAATGAGCTTCGGCTTGTTGCAATGCTTGTTTCTAAGACGAATATTTATTTAATCTAAGAGAGATGCAAAATTCAATCAAACAAACTAGGTCTTCATTTGTAGCACGTAACGTCTTATTTTCTTTTAATAACTCCTTGACACCGGCTTCACGTCGTGCTGGCGAAGGTACTTCAGTTTGAACATTCTGAAGAAATCTCAAGGATAAAGACAGCAAGTGTCATGAGAAATTTCCTACCGATCGAAGAGTGAAACACTTCTCTTCTAAAATCGTATTTTTATCACTTAATTTTTGAATTTCTTCCTAAATAAAAAGAGGCTCTTTGTCGAGTTTGGATTCACTTTACTAACAAATCATTTACTCTGAGTAGACGAATAGTTTCCTCTCGTTCGCGAATACGCTCTTCATCGGCAGTCTAAAATCACACATGACAATTCCTATGCATCAGCTTCCATGCTACTCTCTTACCTTTTGCACTTTAATCAACTGTAATTCGGTTTCTTTACTATGCAGTTCATCTTTCAATCGTTGCATTTCCTTCTCACTATCAACGTCATGTTCACGTTTTCGACCAGAATCGTATTCCGGATGACGACGCTGCATATGTGCTTGTAAATAATCAAAAGTTAAAAATGAATGTGCACAAACAGGACACTGGAAAACACAGAGTAAAGTCAAAATATTGAATTGGAAAGAAAATTCTGATATACCGTGTGATACGACGGTCGTTGGGCCAGTAACATTTTCTCTTGCGTTTCAAGCAGCTTTTTGCGTCGTTTCGATTCTTTTTTTGTTCGATTCAAATCATCTTTTAGTTTCTGAATTTCGTGATTATATTGCTCATGATCCTAAATTAGATTTTCGAGGAATATCGCAGCGAGAGGTATGATCTTACCACTAAACCTTTGCTTTTATTCTGTTCGTTCTCCGCTAGTTGACTGCTAATTTGATCTTGGCAAAGCTAGAAGGAATAAAGAGCACTTGAAATTATATCAACTGTGAGAGAACATCGGCAAACCAATAGATATTCAATTGTTAACTGTGCCATCTTGTATAGCTTTAGAAAATTCGGATCCATCGCTCGTGAATCCTACAATGAATTAAGATAACAGATGAAACTGTAGGAATATCTTTTGACTTACCACTTCTAAATCGATATTACATAGTGTAATTTGTTCAATATTATCTTGCAACACTTGAAAATCTAATTCTCTCGCCACCCGATCGACATCGACGGCCGCTAAAACGAAAACACGAATGGAAAATTTGCGAATAACTTCCGACAATTTCTTTACCGATTCGACGCCAGTCGATTTTTTCGTTTCGTTTATTGAAAACAAACGGGCGACTCATCGGCGGTTGAGATGGATTGCTTAAGATTTGATAATTCATCTTGAGAATTTTATAGCCTAGTGACTATCGAGAAGAGAACGTATGAGACGCCATCTGAATTCGCCATTATTCAATCTGCTCCCATCGATATGACTTCAAACACATCTGTTGTGATTGAACAAGAAGAAACTTCGTAAAACATGCCGTCGATTTTGAGAGAAAACTTTCGGAAGTGTTTCTTTTCCAACAAAGATAGTAAATAGATGTCGCTAACGACGGAATGACTCATCGATTCATCACATGTACACTAAGACTGTACAGACAGACTGATTGTTCGTTCGCATACCATTCGTTATCATTTGACATGTCATGTAAAATGATATTCTGGCCGATTTGTTTCTATGTAAGAAATTCTTTTCGAAAAACAAAGCAAAATGATCGACAACTCGTTTCTTCTTTTCCAGTTATTCGTGCTACTAGCACACAGTGAGCAATTTTCAGATAGCCCGATTAAATCAATAATCAATCCAGATATTGAGATTAAAAACTGTACATTTGGAGAGATATGTTCCGGTGGTATCAACTCGAGCTCAATACATTTCTACTCAGTAGAATATTCATTCGATCCAACAATGGTAAGAGAGAGAAAGCACAACTGACGAGTGCATTGATGTTATCGGATCTAGCAAGCATGAGTAAGAAATGTTATCAAAATGCTGCTGCTCTATGAATGAACAGATTTCCAATAAGCTGCTGTTGCAGATTTTGTATATCGTTTAGCGAATGTTTTTAACTTGTGTGTTCTTCTAGGCTATTCGTGTAATTACGAATATGACATATAAAATTGAACAAGAATCTCCATTATTGATTGTCGTTCGACAAATTCGTGGCGTTATCTCGTGGACATTGCCATATACATTTTCTAATGGGTAAATTGAAAATTGATGTTTTTGTTTGATTTCAATACAATTAATTCATGTCTAGAATGGTTTACTCAAGTGCTTCGCGTATCCTTTGCTTACAGAATGAGATTAATCGTACTCTTCCGCATACAAGTCGAGTTTTCATTGAAATCTCGACATCAAATAACGCTTTGATTAACTATTCACTTCAATTGGAAAATATCACTGACTTTTTACTCGAGTAAGAACATACTTTGAACTTTCTTCACGTCATGTCTCTATATTACTAGAACCGGTGTTAGTCGACAGTTTTTCGTTTCACCTGCTATGCCGATCTATTACAAATTCACATTTCCACCCGATATTCAAAACGTTTTCATCGACGTTCGTTCAACTGACCAGTTATGTACCGTTGTTTCTGTGCAATCATTCGATTGTCCAGTATACGATGTGAGTGAAATCGGTACACGACAAGGACACTACCAAACGATGGCATCGATTTCATCATTTAATGTTTATGTAAGTAGATGATCGCTTGATTTTGCTTCGGAATTTCTTAGATGACTTTCATGTGCTATAGGCGAGTGAATTCCCGAAGCGGAACACATTTCTCCTCGTATTTCTGGTTAAACCAACAGATGCCGATTGTTTAAACGATCAAGAACAAACGGTTATTCGACCATCAGGTATTGTTGATGTTCAACGACGAAAAAATGCGACAGTGACAATTCAACCTCCAGCAAACTGTAAGTTTCACCCTCACACATCGCCAATTAAAACATTCTGTTCAGATAATTTTCTTTATATTGCAATATTCACTACCATTGGTATGTTTCTAATGATCTACTTTCTTGCTTTTGCAATTATGTGTAAACATCCGGATATTTAGTAAGTAAAACATATGTATTACATTAGCGGTAATGAAGGTTGTATCATTTTCTAGCGATCATCTTGCTCCAGAACATTTACGTATGTTTCTGAATTGGAGTTTACGTTGATTGACTGCCTGTCTGTTGTTCTTTAGCTTTATTGGAAGCAAGAACGGAGCGCGAGATATCGGGTAACCGAAAATACGAATGTGAAGTTCAATATTTTTGATTTTTCGATTGAATAGAACGGGAAGATAATCAACAAGGTTATCAAACATTTGAGGGCGAAGAGAATGTTGAATCAACAAGTACAAATGAATATGAAAATTCCGGTGGAGCTGTCGAAGTAATCGAAACCTCGAATGTACGTTCATAAACGAAAAGTTCTTCCTAAACCGATGATCTACTGTTTCTAGGTTGGTTATGTCACTGTCAGTGATCTTTGTGTTAAAGATTATGATTATTTAAAACAAAAATTTCGCATCTATCCTCAAACAATGCTAACCATTGCCATATTCTATTCCTTACCGGTTATACAACTAGTCTTACAGTATCAACTGAACATCGATGCATCAGGAAATGAAGATATATGTTACTTTAATTTTCTATGCACAAGACAATTCGCTATGTTGACAGCGTTTAATAATGTCTTTTCAAATATTGGCTATTGTGCACTTGGTGTACTCTTCTTGATTATAGTCTATCGAAGGTAAATCTGGTGAGAATGAACTGGTTAACAGAGACAAAACTTTACTTTTGTAGAGATATGGCCTATGCTCGATTCTTGGCAAGATATCCAGCAATTGGCAAAGTAAGTTGTTTGAAATTGGGCGAAGAAATATTCTGTTTCTCTTTCTCGTTCGAATTAGGAATACGGTATTCCCCAACATTTTGGGTTGTTCTACGCAATGGGTATTGGATTATTCATGGAAGGGTTGATGAGCGGCTGGTAAGTTCGTTTTATGTTAGCAGCTGTATAAAAATTTATGGTGTTTAGTTACCATATTTGCCCATCGAAACAAAATTTTCAATTCGATACAAGTTTCATGTTCATTATAGCTGTATTAAACATAATCAAAATTTATCAAACTAGACATCCAGATATCAATCCTCGTTCGTCCGGCTCATTTTCATTCCTTGCTGTGATTATTCTTGTCACTGTCGTCGGAGTAGTATGTTTTCGATTTGTACCACTTTTCTTCTTCTATCTTTTCATTTAGTACTATGACGAACAATGGTTTTGGATTACCTATGCTTGTATCCATATCTTGTCCTGCGTCGCATTTACCGGAAAGATTTATTACATGGGACGATTGAAAGTCACTTTTCGCGTGCATGTAAGTGTTGTTCGAGTAGAAGACAATGAAATTTACTTCGAATTTTCAGATTCATCTGTATCGATTGGTTCGCGAAAATGGTTTCTTTTCTCGTCCACGTTATTTAAATCGTATGATGATCTTAATTCCAGCCAATTGTGTAAATATCGCATTTGCTCTCTACGGTGCCATTGTTCAACCTGAATCATTTCCAAATCATTTGCTCTTTGTCTTTCTTGGTAATCTAGCAATCTATTTAATCTACTACATATTAATGAAAATAATTCACCGAGAACATTTTACACGTTTTTCCATTCTGTTTCTTCTGCTGGCAATCTTCTTCTGGTCATCATCGCTGTACTTTTTCTATCAAGAAGTGAAGAGTTACGAAGTTCAACCGGCTATTTCACGTATGCGAAATCGTGCATGTATCCTACTGAACACCTACGATGTTCATGACATTTGGCATATTTTATCATCATTTAGTTTATTTTTTTCTTTTCTCACTTTATTAACACTTGATGATGGAATAAGAAAAACAAGACGAAGAGAACTCGCTGCTTTTTAACAAGAAAAAAAATATGTATGTTTGTTTGTTTGTTTGTTTTTCAGATGATAACCTTAATCAGTATAATTGCCGACGAAAAACAACGAGAGTGCTTGTTCGATTGATAACATACCTTGCTGGTCAATGTCCAAATCACGTAACATGTCATCGATTTCTTCTTCACTTAGTTTTTCGCCGCGAGTACTTAAGAAGTATTTCAATTCTTGAGCTGATATGAAACCATTTCGTTCGTAATCGAAGCAACGTAAGCTGTCGTGCACTTCTTTTTCCGAGCGTTTCTTCAAGCCTTTACATGCACTTTCAATGGTTTCTAAATCGAACATCTGGTGAGGAGAAGACACAGCCAATATCTTCTTCAATTCATTATTCGATGGGCTGTAGCCAGCAGCACGTATGACTGTTCCAGCATCTTTGAAACTTAGTGGACGATTGTTGTTTCGTTTCGAAAGCACTTCAAAGGCTTGTTTTAAACGTTCATCGGTAGATAGAGATGCACCATTACCATTCGTGGCCATGATTAGATGAATGTTAGCGACGAAAAGAAAAACAAAAACGAAGAAAAAAGTGTATAGGCGCAAGGATTAGTTTTCTCTTATGATAATGATCAATTAATCGTTTACCGTCGAAAAGAGGAAAAGAACGAACAGAGAACGTGACGTACATAATCAATGAGACATTCGATCTACCTTCATTGATTCAGTGAGAGAAAAGGCATACAGGTGACCTCGTGGAGCACTTTCTTCTTCTTCTTCTTTCTTCACTTTTTCTTCTTCTATCATATCAAATCGAAAGCACAAATAAACAAACACACGCACAGTTGTCTTTTGTCATTTTAGTCTTTAGTTGTGTATACGAAAGCTTAGATAGATATGATGTCTTGACATCGGGATTGAATTTTTAGATCAATACAATGAACTATTTCATTGGGATATTTACTTATTTACTCTTTCTACTCAATAAATCTTCTGGAGACGATCATGTCTTGGTATTGAACGATCCATCATTTGTACATAACGCTGCTTACGAAATCGTTTCGACAAACACACGTGAGAAACGTGATCAATCATCATGGTTTTTTCCTGAAATTGATAAAGACCAAGTCTCATGTGGAAGGAACGTCTACGTCAAACTGTTCACCTGTTCGAACTTACGCGATTGCAGGTAAAAGACTTACTTTGGAAGAAATTTGCGAATAATCATTTCTCTTTAGGGATTTCTCATCCTGTTTGGATTCACTTCGTTGTCCGCTCAATGTGAAATCGAATGGAGCTTTAATTCTCAATCTGCTTCGTTTGCTCGGAATGGACAAATGTACTACCAACGAACAAGACCTTCTATGTCCGCATGAGAAACGATTAGTCATCCTGAAACGATTGTTTGCTTACTGGTCTCATAATAAAGATAATGAGTATTGCCGGTAAGTTCACATGTCATTCCGGTTAACGTATTAACAATCATTTCTTATTCTAGCACGATCTCTGACTTCACGAATGAAATCAGGAAAGAAGTACAAGATCAATGTCCATTGAATCTGCGACAAGTTGAAACATTACTTGAGAATTACGCGTGTTCGCGTAAGAGTTTGTTTACGAAAGAATATTCTAATCAACTTACAGAGAATTTCTTCTAGCATTAAAAGATGCACTGGCCAGTTTGAGTAGTACAACACCTACCCATATCTTCCCAGCGATTCACAATGCCTTAACAACCGGAGAAACAGTTATATCATCACAATTTGCTTATGTTGACGAAGATAACGATCTGAAATTTGTTGAATCCGATAACAAACTTTATAATACAACTGAACAAAACGTTTTCGTTGTAAGTTTCACTTTGCAGATCTTTCCCTATTTGATACCGATTGTGTTAAAAAATTAGAATGATCATCACTATTACAACGTCTCATATATTATTCCGAAATCTCAAGGCGGAACAATTAATTTCATTCATGACAATTCTCAATTCGTTCGGATTCACGCTTTAGCAAATCGCCATCGTTCAGCATTTGTATGAGAACATTCATCAATTTGATTTTTTTATTGAACATCCTTAATATTTGCAGGGTATTCATTTAAAGTTTGGTTTTCCATTTTACGGTCATACAATTCATAAAATTCTCGTGGCAACCGGAGGTAATTGAAAACTTAGTAACTCATTTTTCATGAATAATCTCCTTTATTTTGTCATACTTCGACAGAAATCTAACTTTCATTCGTAAGTTTTGATGATATCGTTCGCTTCTATTAATAAATGTCATTTTGGCATCACTAAATGCTTTCATTGTTTTCAAACTATCGTGTATATCAATCGAATATGAAATATCTTTCTAGGTTTTATCTATACGGGCGATTTACTGCATTCGGCCATGATCGGAAGTACGCAATAGTAAGTCGATTTGAAAAAGGCGTTTACGATAGAATTGAGGATGTATTTGAATGCATAGTATTGCACCATTTATGGCGAATTTCGATGCATCGATCGGTGGAAATCAATCGCACATTAGTTACTACGATAATGGAACACATTTTGTTTGTACATGGAATGAACTTTTTCTACAAGATCAACAAGATGCTGGCCCATTTACATTTCAGGCTGTTTTACAAAATAATGGTTCGTTTGATGCCATCTTATCGAACCAATTCGACTTGTTGTTACCTTTGAATAGGAAATATCTATTTTAACTATTTACAAATACCAAAAGTGAAAGTGTCCAGCGCCAATCATGCACACCGTATCGGCGTATCAGATGCGTATTTATCTCAACACGCGACGAAAGAACATATTGTTCGCGTTATAACACTGTACGATAAAATCAATTTGGATAAAGAGAAAATTCACAGTGGAGTATCAGTGCTTTTGGATATGGATCAGAGTAAGTGATGAACACGACGTTCACAAACGAAATCATGTTCTTTGATTAAGCTTGTAACACATTTACGGATTGTACATCATGTCTGGCCAATCGTGGTAAACGATACAATTGTTCGTGGTGCGGTGATATACAAAAATGTTCGGATGGGTTCGATCGCTCTCGTCAACAATGGATTCGATCTCAGTGTCATCGACTAGCTTCGGAAGATACCTGTTCAAATAATCTCGAGGATGCTTATGACGATATTAATTTACCGTTGACAACTTCGGCACCATCGATAGCTCACTATGAACGACAAAAACAATATTCACATCCGTCTTCTCCAACTTATTCAACATTTCGTACCATTATCGTCACCTTATTAATGTCAGTTCTCATTCTTTCTCTCGTCGCATTTGGGGTTACGTATGTATATGCCTATCGTAATCCAACATCACCAGCTGGTATGTGGCTTCTTGAACATCGTCCATCGATGTATTTCGACAGACTGAAACGTTTCACTGGTTCAACTTGAACGTGAACGACTTTAAAGTGCCTGATAAACAACTTTATTAAATAATAGATTATTGTTGGTTTTTTTTCTCTTCAAATATTAAATAAATTGTCGGAATAACGCTCAGTGTGATCTAAACTTGTCCTATAGAACATCATGCATGGTACTGTCTACTACATCTACTCATTGTTGTAACAATAGATACGCTTTATGTCGTATGGTTGAATAGAGATAGAAATTTTTCTTTCTCTGTTCGTTCACTATATCATAGACAAGGTGCAAGAACGATATGTGTTCATTTACTTTTTAATGATGATGGCTTGTGTCTAATCCAACTGTACCAATCCATCACGGGAATTTTCAATCTGTTGAAGAGCGGTTAAAAGCAAATTTGTTGTCAACGGTGATCAATGAGAGCAGTTCGTTTTCTTTGAAATAACTATCGGAAGAGATTAGCATTGACCATGAGAAATAAAACACTTGAGAAAAAAGAAGTTTGTGAACTACTCTGCGGTCCTTGTATATGACAATTATCTAGTTGAAGTACATCTATTCCAGGAGAATTCGATACTCTTTTCATCAGTAGCTATGTGCTTCATTTAGATTTCTTCGAAAGTGCCAAGAATATAACGAAATTGAAACTGTATAAATTCGCAGAGAAATCCGACTATTTTCTCATGTTGATTGGTACAGTAGTCGACCAGTAAACTTTTACGCTTCGGTTCGCTGGTATAGAATTTCTAAGATAGTAATCTTTTGCACATTCTGTATATCTTAGTTTACAGGTCTCTAATGATACGAATATGCCAATGGTTGATTTGAAACATATGATTAACTATTATGGGATGCTTGACATTGTAGTTGCCGCTGTCTTGGATCGTTTTGCACTCTTTTGGCATATTCTGCGACGGTAAGTTACGTGGTTTGGCCTGTGTAATGTAAGAGCGTTGAACAATCGATTGATTACCGATCTTGGTAGGCTGGCATTTTTCTGAACATTGGGCCACATTCCATTTCTTCGTATAGATCGAGGTAAGGATGGTATGAAGTAGGTGAAGTCGATTTGTTGCGTTCAATAAGATATCTTACCTGTTTTCTTTTCCATTGGACAAGCTCCTGATATTCTCTTCACCTTATTATGGGTACTCAGTACGCTGGCATACGCATTTAGTCGAGATTACAAATTAACATTGGCATTTTTATCGATAACTCCATTGGTCGTCCCTACGTTTAATCTGGCAGTCGAAGTAAAACGGCCGATTTGGAAAAGGTATGAAGGATTTAATCATTGATCGCTGTTTTTTCTTCAGTTAGTGGTTAAATTCACAAATAAAGCAGTAAAGACGTTTGCGTGTGCAGCATCTGCCATTCAAGAAGCTTTACATCATATCCAAATGGTCACGGCGTTTTATGGTCAGCAGAAAGAAGTATTTACAGAGTTTGATTGATCGAATTTGTCTGTAGATGGAACGATTTAAGATTCGCTAAGAATTTGGTGAACGCCAAAATAATCTGGAGTTCAAAAAAGTATTTATGCTGGAATATGTCACAGCTTATCTAATGTGTTCAATTACTCTGCGATTGCATTAACAATATGGTAACATTTTCCATCGGTATGGCCTGCATGAAATTCAACAAGAATGTTTAAATTCGTCGTCTGAACCTGTTCTTACAGTAACTAAACGACGGTGAACTCGAGTATGTTTGGATTTATTTCGTTTGTTATAAGATTGTTTTAGTTTGCATGGTATGAATGATCGCATAGAAAGAAATATAAAGTTGTTTTGAGATGATTGGTTCTAGAATGCAGCAAATACTGCATCTCAATTCAGACCGAATTGACATAATAGAACGAGTTAGTCGTCCACTTTTACTTATCCTGATCGTCAGGATAGTCTGGTGTGTAATTATTCGCCATTAAAGGCCAGCTAATTTCTAGTTTGGTTTTAGATTTTGAATAACTGGTCATATAAGATTTCATCAGGCAAAACAGTTTGCATTTGTTGGATCACCAGCCTCTCGAAGTGCGCTCTCGTTTGATTGTGCATCATTGTGATACTTTCGCTCGTAGAAATGTAAAATGCTGTCGGGTACTGAATTGAACGGTAAACAACAACAACAACAACAACAACGAAATAAGTTTCTCTCAGGTCCTGTAGTGCATGTAATCCTGATCTTCTCGGCGAAGCCACATCTGCCCTGAACAACAAAAGTGAACGAACTGTGCAAGAAGCGTTCAATCAAGTGCGAGCTGGTCAAACATGTGTGGCTACCGCATGCCGTTTATCGACAGTACAAAAAAACCCTGAAACACTCGCTTTTGTCGATCGTGGCAAAGTGACTGAAGAAATTATATTTCCGAGGTACACATACTGAATTGTTAGAGAAAGGAGGGATGTATGCTACATCAGACTTGACCCAAAAACAATTTGATAAATATCACCGATCAAAATGAGTTGCGGAACTTTAGCTGTACTGCAAATTCTCAATTTTTTGTTTATATTAGACGGTAATAAATACTTCACCTTCACTGCATGCGATATAAAATTGGTAAAATGCTGAGTCATCAGTACAATGTTTAAAGAAGGCAATGATTGTTGCATCAGATCGGTTTTTATTGGTTCAAAATATTTATTTGAAAGTGAAATTGGTTCACCATTTTCATCGTCTATTAATAGACATGTGTCATTCTTTTTTTTTCTTTTCTATCAAGCATATTGGTGTTTACACACTGTGTTTTTCAAAACAACATGTTTTCAAGAACTTTATGCTGTTCTATGCAGTAGAAAATGGTATGAACATCAGCGTGTCGAACGTACCCTATCGTACTTCTCGCACGGCGTTGTATTGTTGTGACATAATGCGCGTGTTGCGGACAAAAATCGAAAAAGAAGAAGAATAATTACACCAACTGCAGCTATTTAAAAGCAAACAGTGTTCTTGCGTTGCTTAACTTCATTTACAAAAACATCTTTTGACGAAAAGTATGTCGAAATCAAATGGCAAAGTCACTCCAATGGACGATGATACAGTTAATCAACTTGGTAAAGAGATAATGGCAAATATCAATGATAAAGAGACCATCGATAGTGTGAAGACAACAGAAGGCAAGTCGAAAAAAAACTTCTTTCAGCGGTGTTTCAAAAGAAAAGAGAAAAAGCCTGTGGAAGAAAAGAAACCCGAAGCTCGAAAATTGAAAACGTTTGAAATTGTAGGTACTTAACAAGAAAGAGATCTTTTAAACACATTATAACTATCTCTAGCATAAATTTGCTGATAAATGGGACATCTTATTAATGATCTTGGGCAGCATCGTTGGTAAATAACATCGATTATCTTCTCTTCGTACGAATTAAGTTTTTAATTGTATTTTTAGCACTTGCGACTGGAGCAGCGATGCCAATTATGATGTGGTTGTTTCAAAGTGTAATGAATGGTCTAGTCACCATCGGCAGAGGCAATTCGACATCCGGCAGTGGCTGGTATGGAAACCATTGAATACGTAGAGCAGAACTGAATTGGTTTTCTGTTCATTTAGTTACCAAGATCCAGCGTCAACTGGGGATCCATTCACAACAATCGAGGGTATAATAAAATGGTACGCGACTCTTGGAGCATCTAGCATCGTTGCTCATTGGATTGCATATGCACTCTGGGTGAGAGATATTTTATTCAAGTTGAAATAGACAAGTAATATTATGATTCGATGCAATTATAGATGATTGCATCCGAAAGACAGTTACGACGAATCCGGTATGCACTTTTCGAGAGTATAATGTGTCAGGAAATTGGCTGGTTTGATTGTCGAAATGCAGGTTTGTGACTTCGATGTTGTTTGTTCTCGAATGGAGATTTTTGACTGCTTCTCGTGTCAATTAAAGGTGAACTGTCTAGTCGTCTTGTCGACGATTTAGAAAACATTCGCGAGGGTACTGGCTTTCGTGTTGCTGACTTCATCTGTCTTGTCTCTCGAATTATTGCCACATTGATATTTTCGTTCTATACTGGTTGGAAGTTGACTCTTGTTTTCCTCTCCATATCCCCACTCATCGTTCTTTCAATCAATGTTCTCATTCGCGTAAGTACACGTCAATGAACTAATCATAATTGAAAATAAATATGGATCATTGTTCTTTAGATTATGGTTAAGTATACCATCTTAGAACTCAAAGCTTATAGTTCGGCAAATGCCATTGCCCAAGAAGTTTTAGGTGCTATTCGAACAGTAACAGCATTTAGTGGACAACCGAGAGAATTACAAAGGTAAGTTGAGGTTCTACGTAAAGGAAACAAAATCCATTTTCTATTTTCTCGACAGATACGAAAGCAATTTAACGCAAGGCAGACGCGTTGGTATTCAAAAAGGCTTCTTGTTAGGTTTAGCACAAGCGTTGGTTAATGTTGTACTCTATGGTGGTATTGCTATTATCTTTTGGTATGGACCATATCTGATCCGAACTGAATGTAACAATTATTCTGCTGGTCATTGGATGGTGGTACGTATTTACGGATGGGTATGAACGATTAGAAAAGTTCGTTTATTTAAGGTCTTCATTTCATGTCTAACGACGACATTTTCTTTATCAAGTTTGATTCCGAACTTACAATCGTTTGCAGAAGCGTCAGGCTCGGGCGCTTATGTATTTGATGTCATTCAGCGGAAATCCAAAATCAATATATTTAGTACCGATGGAGAACAACCGGCGACGTTTACAGGTGATATTGAATTTAAAGATGTACAATTTACGTATCCAGCTCGACAAGACGCGCCGGTAAGGAAATGTTGCGATGAATTTCTTTGTTTAAATATTGCTAATAGGTTCTCAATGGTTTAACAATGAAAATTCCCGCAGGAAAAACAGTAGCACTTTGTGGTTCCTCTGGCTGTGGTAAAAGTACGTCAATACAATTGATTCAACGGTTTTACGATCCCGATCAAGGCACAGTATTACTCGATGGTCGAGATTTGCGTTCACTTAATCTGAGATGGTTACGATCGAATATCGGTATTGTTTCTCAAGAACCTGTCCTATTCTTTGGTACCATCGAAGATAATATTCGCTTTGGTAAGCCGGATGCCACAGACGAGGAAGTTATCGCTGCAGCAAGAATGGCAAATGCACACGAGTTTATCATGAAGTTACCACAAGTAAATCTTGACGCATATGTTTAAAACAGAACATGTGTTCGTGTTTTATCGTTTTAGAATTACAAGACTTCTTCCGGTGATAAGCTAAGCGGTGGACAAAAACAACGAGGTTAGTGGACGATTATCGATGGCACCTGTTCAGACAATTGTTTATTTCATTTAGTTGCTATTGCTCGAGCACTGATTTCAAATCCAAAATTATTATTACTTGACGAAGCTACATCTGCGCTCGGTAATCGATCGCACATAAAATTAATAACAAAAATTATCTATTATTTTAGATAATACAAGTGAAAAAGTTGTTCAAGATGCGTTGGATAAAGCCAAAGAAGGTCGAACGACCATTATTATTGCCCATCGTTTGAGTACAATCAAAAATGCAGATATTATCGTTGGTTTAGATCGCGGCCATGTTGTGGAATATGGCACACACAATGAATTGATGCAGCATAAAGGACTCTATTACGAGCTAGTCATTGCACAAAGTGAAAAAGAGCAGGAAAAAGTTGACAATGAAATTGAAGATGATTTTGAAGAAGAACTGACACGTGCCGCAAGCAAATCAGCTAAGGAAAAACCTCACAGTGCTATTCGTCGAGCGTCCATTACTCTGAGACGTTCATCAATTATTTCAGCGAAATCTGGCATATCAGAAGCTGGTAGTGAACTTGGCGATCATTTCGAAACAGATCAGAACGACGAGAAACGGTCCCGATTTCGTATGCCAACAATATTGAAAGTCTTACGATTGAACGCTCCCGAATGGTTCTATCTTGTATTAGGTGGAATAGCTTCACTTGTTTATGGTGGTATAACACCGGTTTGTGAATATCGAATAATATGATTTTCTAAACATAAGCCGTTACTTTTCCAGGCATTTTCATTGATCTTTTCCGAAGTATTCGGTGCTTTGGCCGAGACTGATCCACAGAAACAAGAAGACCAAATTCGAGTATATACTTATGTACTCTTCTTAGTTGGTGTCGCCGGTGCTATAAGTCAATTCGTATCGTCAGTTACATTGGGCAAAGCAGGAGAGGAATTAACCATGCGAATGAGAATTATTTCGTTCAAAAGTATGCTCCGACAAGAAATCGGATGGTTCGATTTGGATGAAAATAACTTGGGTGCATTAGTAACACGGTTGTCATCGGATGCGGCAGCATTGAAAGGTTTTACTGGGCCAACATTTGGTGCTATTCTCAATTCAGTTGGAGCTCTCATTACGGCTCTTGTCATTAGTTTCATTGCTGGATGGAAATTGACGTTGGTTATTCTCTGTTTTACACCGCTGATGATTTTTACAGGTATCATTCAAGGACAACAATTTTCTAAAGCA